GAGTAGCCGCCATTGTCGGGGATCACCGCTGCTACACGCCTCGGCATTGATTCAAAGAGACTTTGGATGTATTCTTGGGGTACAGCAGACCAAGCAGCTTCAACATGTTGCCAAAGCTGACCTGGTGTGGCAGCTGGGGGCGTAATCTGGGTCAATCGTTTAGCAACCATGGGCCACATGTTTTCTATCGGTGAAAGATCCGGAGAGCAAGCCGACCAGGGAAACAATTCAATCTGGTGATTGACAAAGAACCTTTGAACAATGAGTGCCACATTTGGTCGCACATTATCTTGCTGAAATATGGCTGTGGCGAAACCCTGAAGGTAAGGAAGGACAACTGGCTCTAGCACCTCGGAGATGTAGCGCTGGCTGTTTAAAGTACCGTCAATGCGTACTAGAGGAGTGCGAGAGTGATATCCAATACCGCCCCATACCATAATACCCGGTGCAGGACCAGTGTGGCTGTGCATAACGCAGCTGTTCAGCATCCTCTCTCCACAGTGTCTCCAGACTCGAATCCGACCATCGTGGTGTTGCAGACAGATGCGTGACTCGTCAGTAAAGACAACTTCATTCCCTTCTGCCACCCACATCCTTCTTTCATCGCCCCATTGGCGGCGGAGACTTTGTGGTTCTGCGTCAAGGGTAGACCAAGCAATGGACGTTTTGCGGACAGACCACTCTGCTGTAAATGGCATCGAATGGTACGCGCAGACACTGAATGATGCGTTACAGACTCAATGTGCTGTGCTACGATTCGTGATGTGATTGAGCGATCCGTCACTGCCATGCGTATAATTTGCCTGTCCTCACGTGAAGTGGTGCACTGAGGTGGGTGCGATCGACCACGTCGGTCCGTCGTACCCTCCTGCATCCAACGGTCACATATCCGCATTACAGTTGTTTGGCTTCGTCCAACACGACTACTGATTTTCCTGAAAGATAATCCACAATATCTCGGTAGGCAACTCTCCTTTCTCTGTCGAACTCGGATACTTGATCAAAAGCTGATCGCTGTTTTCTACGAGACATAATTGATCGTTTTTTGAAAAAAACCACAAGAAAAACACAATTGCCGAACTTGAAATCGTCGAAATCTCCAAGCCTTAAATAGCGCTTTGAGGTGGCGCCAGAGGCGCGCGTGACGTGTGTCTGCGATGAAATTCTAATCATTTGCATATATCACCTCCACTAATGCATGTTGTAAATTTCATGTTATTTGCATGCTTCCTTCAGGGTGTTGCATTTACGGTGGCCAGCAGAGTATATATCAGTATACTCATTCTTCACACGGGTTAATTGAAAAATATAACAATTGAGATAGAAAGATAATAAAAAAAATTTAATCAGGTCGAAATCTAAATTCTTTTTTTTTTAATAGAGTTTAGAGAATTGCAAATTGAGCTTCACGGAAAGAACGATTAACAAATGAAAAACGGAAGTCAGATAAGTACATATAGCTGAATTAACGCGTATTTCTCGATTTTATCAGTCCACAGTCCATATATTAATAAAGCCACTATCGGTGACTACTGACGCAGAGCCCGTTTTTAACGGATCACGACACAACAAAAGAAACAGAGCTGCCGAATATCAAGTGTGTAGGTCTAATAGCTCCTTATATCTCGTGATGAGTGAATGAGTCACTTTTCTACCTATAAGGTCCGTCCACGGAAGTCATCTGAGTTTTGGAACTTCCGGTCGCCGTTTCATATAAAAAAGCCACAGATTCTCTGAAAGATTCTGCCGGCTCTTCATCCTCGTTATGTAAACATGCAAGGATTTTGACTCCACGCCTAGAGATGAGGGAGAAATTGAAGGAAGACTAGTCACACATTTTCAAAATCACTTAGTTTATTTGCAACACAAGTTTGATCAATCAAAACCAAAAGATGCACCCAATTAAATCAATATGTAAGCAATTAACAAGGTACGCAAAGTATGAGATGAATTTAATTACCAGTACACTTACTTCAATTCGAGTACACTGCCTTCCTAGCTATCTAATCTATATTCAATCTCCTGTGACAAATCATCACCTTAATTATTACAATAATCAAACACTAAATATCTGAATTGCATATTAAATTTGATTAATCATTACTCCGCTAACAGCTTACCCTATCTCTCACTCTAACTTGAAAGCCTAGACTTTATATAATATACTTAATTTACATGTTCATGTTCTTTTCTTCAGCGTTCTAATAAAATAGTTTTTAGAAACCAAAGATTCCCCAAGAGGATTTATTAGTGAGAAGGTCGCAAATAGAGCCGTCACAAACGTACGGGGTAAGATTATATGTTTGTGTTCTTTGTTGTGTCGTCCATATTTGTGTCGGCGTGTGTGTTAAAATGTACAAAGTAATGTAAAATGTCGTATAATAAACTGAATTACCGTTCAACAAAATGATTCCCCATTCATCCAAAATCTTCTACACTCACTTCTACTCTCAGCCAAATAATCAATAACTTAGGAAGAAAATGCTTACCACAATCACCTCGACTTGTATATATATATATGTGTGTGTGTGTGTGTGAGTGTATTTTATTTGTAACATTTAAATTTCTGCTAATATTATTCTATCCTTTCCCTTTGGTTCAGTAATATATGCAAATTACAGGTGAAGGTTGGCTAACCCTAAAACTTGTTTAAACCTGCAATCTTGGTTCCTAAGGCCAAGGGTTTGTTATTGTACTACTGAGACTAATATTCCCTACTATATATATATATATCTTGACTAGTTATACTTTGGTTTTATAGCCATTTGTATATATATATATATATATATATATATATATATATATATATATATATATATATATATATATATATATATACATACATATATAACTCCCCAAACTTCCACGCATGCCAATGTAAAGACTTTGAACTTCATCAGATTTAACTGTATCAGTCCTATACATGCGGAAACTTAAATGACACCAGGACTCGAAATTACACAGGGCAACACAACACACACACGCCATACGCACACAATGCCGGTCACGTGTTCACGTTCATGACCACTCGGCTTCCGCAGACAACAATTGATAAAATCATTCAACCTATTTATAAGATTATATTTTAATAAGAATTTAAAGGAATACAGGGAAAAGAATTGTGTGTATGCTTATGACCACACGGTCGAAGTGAAAACTTTTGATTTATTTTGGGCAGTCAGATGTACTACTACTTTTTCATTCAAGACACTTTCGCATGCGGGCATTAAATAGTTCTCTTTTTCATGCCCATTCACCGGTGAATTTGTTTATTCCATCCATTTTTTGTAAAGGGTAATTTTTAAATAATTATGCATTCTTATATATTTATATATGAGTATATACCATTTGTGAAAGTCAATTTAATTATTTAAAATCATTTTTATGTAAATTACTTATGTAAATTATATTTATACAATATATATGTTTATATGGTATTTAAGTACTATCGCAACAATGCCAACGTACAAGATAACTCACCAAGTTGGCAACCCAGCTCTCCAATGTGTCGTATGAGCTGACTTGGCAACGATGTGTTTCCTTTTATTTTATGCCACCAATACCATTGCGATAATACGTAAGTTCCGTTTATACAACTTATATAACCCAATATACTATGTAAGGCTTGGAAATTTTATGCCATGAGAGCCGTTTACTTTCTTAAAATTCTCTAATCAAACAAAGGGAGAGATTACGTACTTTTTCACAATTAATGCTTTTAAAATTTCTCGTAATCTCTTAGTTGTCATCACAAACATAAACCAAAATATTGGCACCTTTTTTGCCAATTAACCTCATGAAAATTTCGGATTTTAATTCTTTTGGCACATTTTTGTGTTTAAATGCTCTTTCTACTGAATCAGTAACGTAGATATTATAATTCGTTTCTTCTTATAAATATCTTCGATCTCCTAGATAAAGAATTATCTTTTTTTTTTCAATTATTTTCGCTTGCGCTCTTCTCTCTTTCACTCACTGGAGTTGAAAAGAAGTGGGGTACACGACAGTAATATTTAAATAAAGAAAATAAAACTTCGCGGGAAAAATTGAGCATGAAATTTCTACTTAAAAAAAGCACACGCCTAAAAAGTTTTCAACTCAAAACTAAACGAGTATCGCTGACCCGAACACGATTTCCGATTGAGAGTAACACAGCAGAATCTGACGCTTAATCAAGATTCACTTTTCAACAAAATAGGTTTAAAGAAGCTATCACTTCAAAAATTAGGAATAATTACTTTCGATTTCTTCGTTCGAAATCAGTTGGTTGAAGTTCGCTAAGAAGATGAAAAGATGATATTTGTAGAAGTCTTGGAAATATTGGAAAGGTAATGTCATCTCATTGATATATGCTTCGATTAATAATAGAGAGAGAGAGGGGGATTTGTACTAATTATTTCATTTTTCCCTTTAATTTATTATTATCTTTACATTTACATAATATTAGTATAGTTTAATTATCGTAATGATGATGGACATGACATAATCATCATAACGATAATTACATGTATAGTTTGTAAGTTTTTGATATTGTGCAAAATATATTTCAAACTTATTTATGCAAATAAATTTTTCCGGTTAAATAGAAAAATCTACACGTGGCAAAAGAAACTGATATATTTCATTTTACTAATTTTAAAATCTCCAGATTTGTGTGTATGTATTCTGAGTAATAAAATTTATACAAAGTAAATTTGCATTTTTAAAAACAAAAAATCATTGTTTTTAATTTTTTTCAATTCCTGGTATTAGTTCACTCTCCCTCTCTCCCTCTCTCTCTCTCTCTATATATATCTTGTTCAAATTTTCAAGTGTTAATTGAACACTTTCTATTCATCCATTCAATTTTAAATGCATTTTTTTAAACTTGTAGTGGATGACACTTGATGTTAATACAGTTTTTTCAAACATTAATTCATTAATTAAATTTTAAAAAATGAATAATTAATAACAAAAAATAGTAGTTCAACAGCATATGTAGAAAGGAAAATTGTTCGTTTGTCTCTGTAGTGTAATAGACAGTGTGTTGGACATCTAATCCAAAGAACATGGGTTCGAATCCCACCAGGGATGGCCTAGTTTTTGAGAATGTAATTTCTTTTTTTACTATACTATTTTATTAGAATAATTCAATTTAATTCATGAATAAATAGTAACAAACAAACAAAAAGTAGTCCAAAACCATGTATAGAAATGAAAATCGATAATTGCAAGGAAAATGGCTTTCTATTTTGTCACTTAATATTATGATTCTGTCATATGTATATACATATTTATATTAATTGGAATTATTTAATAAAAAGTAACTATAAAATATAAAACTTTTCTTTGTTGACGTATGTAGAATTGACTTTAAAAAATTTTATTACTTATTCTAGTATTGATTAACCATTTTAAAGGAATTCCTGATTTTGTACATTGAAGCATCTTTAAGTAAACGTAAAAATTCGCTACTAATACAAATTGAACAACATACATAAGCAAATCAACAACATAACAAAAAACTTACAAATTGAAATTTGAAATTTAAGTTTATTAAAAGTAATAATAAGTTTGCTTTTCTTTACAATTAAAAGTTAAGTGTAGTTGTATTGTATCAGCTAAATATTTTTAATTAATTCTTTATACAACACACATCAAGCCATTAAAACATCTTTATAAATAATTCGATACCTTATAAACAATCAACTAAACTTATCTTGCTCCATTTTGAAAAAAAAAATGAAAAAAAATTATGTTTTTTCTTATTTTATCCCAAAACTAAATAAATAAAACTAAACTTAATCTTTAAGATAAAGAGTCACCATTGACTACGAAAACTCTCGAAGTAAATTTAATTTAAGTTTTAAAATGCCAAAAAAAAAAAAACGTACCAAAATACTACCAAACACTATCGAGTAACTAACTCTCCCTTCTGCACACAAAAGTAGCACAATTAAACCAAAAAAGAAACAAAGAACTTCACTAAAAAAGAACCAAAACGAAAAGTAATAAAAATAAAACAGACAAAATATTACTAAAGTAGACACGTTCGAAGATTACTGAAAATTTGGAATCAAAAAGGAAAACAGAAGAAGGAGAGTAAAAAAAAGAGGAACAAATGAGTTTACGTCCAGATGAGTTTGTAAGAAGCTTTAAGGAGCGGGAGTTGAATTGAATTATTAAAGTATGAAAAAGCAGAAATTGTCGAAGAAAAGAGCCATTGGAAAGTGCAAAATGGATTACAGGGGAGAAGATTGGATTATAAAGTTCGATAATGAATGCAGAAGGAAGATTAGAAATCTGGTGTTTTTCTATTTGTAAAAATCTCCGAAACGCGAATGATTAGAATTTAAACAGGAATAAATTCCAAATCTTCCAAGACGAGGGGAAAGTAAATTGAAGATGCCATTTGATTCTGAATTTAATTTTGTGCCCTGTCTTTTATAGAATGACTTATTTTATTGCACGAATATTTAATTTAAAAAAAAATATTTTATAGGTGCTTACAAATAATTTGTAGTTTGCTTTTAATATAGTTGTGATAATATATATATATATATATATATATATATATATATATATATATATATATATATGTATATATATATATACATATATATATATACATTTATATATATATATATATAATATATATATATATATATATATATATATATAAATAAATATATATATTTACTAGCTGATACCCTCCCATTTCGCTTGACACTTCATGATGTTATAACAGTGTTTCTCAAACTTTGGGGCGCGCCCCCTGGGGGGCGCGAGCATATCGAAAATAAAAGATTAAAAAAAATTTATTTACTGGAATGAAGTAAATCAAAATACTTTCTGACATAATAAAAAAATACACATTTACACTGATATAATTTATATATATCATCTGCGATATTACGTCATAAAAAATAAAATCTTCTACTTCAAAACCTCATTTTAGCTATCTTTGATACTGTAACCAAATAAAAAACCTTTTATTTGATTTGCTGTAATCCCATGATGAGAGATTTTTTTACTACGGTTTCTTTTCAAACCAAAATGAGAAAAAACAAAACCCAGACCCTTAATAAAAAAAAAAACTTTAGAAAGATAAAAAATTCATCACTGTTATATTATTGTCATCAGCTGTAGGCAGCAGAATGTATTTGCTGCGGTTTGACCTTCGAACTTACTTGTACGGTTAGTTACGTCCCTGCTCTTATGTATTTGTTTTTTCATTTAGGGAAGTTGAAAATAAACTATTTCTGCTGCGATTTTTTCCTTGTAAAATATTTTTATGATTTTTGGAAAAGCACAGGGAGCACTTTGAAGGATTACTTCGTCAAGATTTATTTCTATGAGTGATTCCCAAACATATAAAGCATAATGAAAAACGTTCTACATAATTTTTTTTGAACATACATATTGTAATAAATACACTTTTAATCCGGAGCTGTCGCGCCGAGCACAGAGTGCACGAAATCGGTAATTCTGGCAAAACTGTTTAATTGTTACCAATGGCTCTGACACTATCCTTCTGTTTGACAGTCTTAACGTGTGAACTAAAATATATTTGTCACATATCTCCCCCTCTTTTTTGGGAGTGACAAACGTTGTTTTACAATTTTAAGGTACTTGTTTTGACTGAGTCCCCGGTGTGATAACTTTTTTTCCGAAATATTTTCTGTATCCTTGAAAGTAGGTGAGTATATTTTCTCTTAATTAAATTGTTCACTGAAATTACGGTTTTTATTGTGTACAAAAAATAATTATAAAAAAAGGATTGGAGCGACTCACACAATAACCCCACTCGACCATTAGTATCGAGTGCGTGCCTGCTCCAGGGTTAAAACATGTTGAAGACTTTTCACTTTAAATATGTATTAAAAATAATACAATTATTTTTCATCGGAATTTTATATTATTGTTCATTATTCAACATCAATTCTAAATGCTAATTCTGTGAGGCTTAAAATTACAGTTCGCTTAAAACTAATTATAATTTGAGCAATGATTAAAAAATATAATTTTACATTTTTGTAAGCATTGTCGCGCACTTGGCTTAACTCTCCTTAAAATTCAGCGATTATATCAATAATGTTTTATTTTCTTATAAATGAACTCGTGCAAATAGCGGGTGCTTCAGCCGGTATACTTTTAATGTATCAGTGCTGCACAGAGTATTTTATAACTAATTAATTAATGCTAAATTAGAACAAGTTTAATAAGTATTAGCGACTTTCATGGGCTTGTCTTACAGAGCAAATTTTTCAAAGGAATGCTTATGATTAGAAATTGACCCACTGAGTTCTTTCTAAAAAGAAAGGTGATATCTATATTTTGTCTTCTAAGCAGCCACCGCATTTTGCAATATGTTCCAATTTAAAAATTAGAGAAAGGAAAAATAACATAATAATTATCCTATTATTTATTTATTATTTTTTTTTTGCTTAAAAGCAACATATACAAAATTTAATACTTATGTCATGAATTTGTACGGTTTATAATTAAGATTATTGCTTTAGCGTAAAAAAAAGTGCATTATTATTGCATTCAGTACATTATTAATGTATAAGGGGGGCGCGATAAAAATTGTGATTGAAAAGGGGGGCGCCAGTATTGAAAGTTTAAGAAGGACTGTGTTATAAGAATATACACTGTTTACATATATACAAGTTATTTATAGCATTAAGAATTTGAGTGTATTGAGTGAGTGTATTCTTATAACTCTCGCTTCTTGATTTAAAAAGGACATAACATCTAAATATTAATTTTAAAAATTGAAGCAGAATTATCTGCTTTACGCTCCCGTAACCCCCTTTTCATTTGAATTTCCACAAAACCCATTTTTAGTGTATTTTTACTTAATAAAATAAACATGCCTGATAAATTTCAAGTATAAATCTAATAGTTAAAAAACGAGATTTTTTTAGCAATAAACTGCAGTTACCACCTTTGAGAGTCGATTTCTGTAAGGCCCATTTTTTGCAATTCAACAAAACTGTGCATACCAAATTTCATTATTATAAGTCTAGTAGTTCGAAAATGGAAAATCTTTTTTATCAATAAGCGGCTCTCCTTCATAGGGCTAACATTTCAAAATCGATAACATTTATCTATAACACCCCTTCAGACATCGCAACACCCCTCAGGAGTTTATTTTTGCAAAACCCCTTTTATAGCGGATCTCTACTCTATGAAAGGCCCTACCTAATTTCAAGTTCGTAAGTCTAAGAGTTCAAAAGCTTGAATATTTGTTTGTACAGATCCTTAAGCCTTCACAACGCCCCTTGAGGATCGTTCTTCGCAGATCCAACTCCATGACAGGAACATTCCTACCAAATTTCAAGTCTGTAGGTCTAATACTAATTCCGGAATTATGAGGAGTTATAGCGATGAGTGAGAGTCGCTTTTTTTCTCCTTTATACGTAGACTGTTCAATAAGTAATAATAATAATTTTATTACCACTCATCGTAATGTTAATTTCTGTGGTATAAGAAAAGTTTGTTGTCTGTATTAACAAAAGCTACCGATAGATGGCGTGTACAGACTCGTATTCTTGAGTATCACGTAATCGAACCGAAGCGTGTTTGTGGGCGCCTACGAGACGCAGCCAGTTGTCGAAATGGAAGCAAAAATCATCATCGGAGACCTTTGATATGATATGATATTATTAAAGACTGGAACAAGAAGGCAACAATATTTTAAAACGCTTTATCACAGTAGACGAAGCTTGGTTGTATTACTATGATCCAACCACAAAACAACAAAGCAGTGAATGGAAACATCCATCTTCACCTACTCTCAAGAAAGCAAAAACTGTGAAATCAGCTGGTAAAGTTATGACCATAATTTTTTTTCATTATGAAGGAATTGTGCATCAACACGCTTTTGAACCCGTACTACCGTAAACGACTCGAACTACACGAATGTCCTGCGAACAATGGTACAGCACGTTAAAAGAAAACGTCCATTGCTCCGAAATGGCTTCCTAATGCACCATGACAATGCCCGACCACATATTTCTCGTTGTGTACGGTATGTTTAACAGCAGAACAACGTGGAGATTTTACCACACCCTCCATACGTGTCCTGA